AATGAGGTCACGGTATGTGAACAGGGCCCGATTGAAGGAGGCTTCTCCTTCATTAATGCAGCCTAGCAGTGCAGACAGAATAAAAGCACATGACTCATCCCTATTGGGGAAGTCGGGAGGTTTTCAGGTATCCCATCATGCTCTCTGGGAGTGACACAGACACAAATTTATACAAGTGAGAGTATTTCTGAGGTCAGGGCATAGGGTCAACATGCAGGGCCCTGCAGCAGGTGGGGCCTTGCTTAAGGCCCAAAAAGTGGCATGATTACTATACTAGGTATGGGATTCGAACTCACGACCATCCTGAGAGATCGCCAGCATGCTGTGGTGCCTCCCTCCCCCGCGCCCGGTATTTACACTGACCCAGCAGCTCCGGGCAAATCTTTCACATCCCAAACGCAGATTCCTTGGCTACGAGCGCTAAACATCTCCCATCTCCAGCTTCCAGAAAGTGAGATTATTTGACATTGAGTATCTGGCCAATTCAAACAATGTTCAAGCTCTGACTCAGGCACAAATGTTCTTTCTGCAAATACATTTTTAAAGACGTCACGAATTACGTTACAGTTGGGACAGTATCTGAATAACATTGTGTGTTTAACCTGATAAGACCTGATACTGGACAGAGCAATAGAGCTCCTATTAATGTGAAAAAATGAAACTACTTATTTGCCATTTGTTTAAGCACAGATACACAAAAGCGCTTTCATTTTCACATATTCCTTCTTGCTCTGATTATTCTCAGGTGAGAATAAAACTTGAGCTCAGAGCTCAGGCTCAGCCATTTATCTGGCACCCCCAGAGCATTTTGGGGGGTTAAGGGTCTTGCTAAAGGACCCAACACCAATGTGATTCTACCGCAGACCACAGGATTTGAATCAACGACTGTTACATTGCAGGTAGTAACACACTGGGTTACACATCACTTCCAAAAGTGATGTGTAACCCACAGTAAGTGCAAAGTGTTCAGATCACAAAGGACGACAGCATATATATTTGCAGGTATAAAAGCTTATATTTGCATTCTCAGTTCTCATTGTAAAGGTCTGTTGATGAGAGAAGCACAGATGTGGACGCAGGAGTAGATGTGGATGGAAGCCAGTGAGCTGAAGTGTTACAGGGAGATGCACAGAATATCATCCGTGCTTAATTCAAATCTAGTTTTACACAATTTATATGTCAAGCCAATGACAGGGACTAAGAATCTGTAGCAAATGAACAAACGAGCGTGAACAATTTACTGTACTTTTATCCAATAAGAAACCTTGGATCTGACCTCAGTCATATCCGAGTGCAATCAGACCATAAATACAGATAATTAAACATAACCACCAGCGTTGAGGGAACACCTTTAATTTCTGGAGTTTAACTGGGCTAAATTGCTGTTAATGTGCATCCCCAATCATCTAAGCGCAAACTGCCAATTCAGTGGCAGAAACATTTCTATGAGAGCTGAGAGTGAAACGGTTAAGGATGACGTGTAATCAGAAAAGGAGCCGGTTACGGAGTGACAAGGCTGACAGTAAGTGGACACTGACACCAGAAGGAGGAATCTGGCTGCTGAAAACAGCCAAAGGGAAACCTTCATAGAGACGTATACCAGAGTCAGCATGATGTGGTCAAATGCTTGTACCACGTCATTAGGTTCTGTAGTGAGAGGAACCGCAAGCATGGTATTGTCTTGAAAGTCCCTTTTCACCATGTTCTCTGCCAAATAAGCAGGAATCCCCAATTAGAAACAGGTTAACAGTGGGGGGGGGGGCTAAAGCTGGCCGTCCTTCAAAATCAGCCAAACTATCTTGAAAGATCTTCTCTATCCCACAGAGCGTACAGCTAGTGAAATGGTGTGAGGAAGAATGACGTCAGGACTGGGCCTCGGCACTCCGTCCCACCACACCAGAACTCCGTGGGGATCTACGGTGCATCCAGAACCTTGGAGGCCTGGTTTTCCTGGCACCTCAGCTCTGAATCACTTTAGTAAATCATTGTTAAGATAAGGCGCAAATTTACCCGCTGGCCTTAATGTGAAATGGGGGTAGCATTTTTATTTATTTAACGGATGCTTTTATCCGAACCGACAAACATTTTTGAGAACGCAAGGTCATACTGTCCCTGGAACAACTGGTATGGGGGGGGCGGGGGGGGGATGGAAGTAGAATGATTCTGAAGACTCTGGGATTTGAACTAGCGACCTTCCGATCACAGGCACCACATTGTAACCCGCTCAGACACACGCTCGCTAGCAATGGAAACATAACCCAAAATCAGGCCCACACCTGCGATAGGATATGTGTGTGTGGGGGGGGGGTCCTATCCTGAACCTGATGGAACATAAATATAAACAATATGGAGGCATCAGTTAGATGTTCAGGAGAAGAGAACATGTCAGCAGCAGTTAGGCCTCTGAACATGTCAGCAGCAGTTAGGCCTCTGAACATGTCAGCAGCAGTTAGGCCTCTGA